ACTTGCATTGACATATTCTTTTTCAACTTTAACCATGGTTGTTGCTTTTGCTCGTCTTAATTCATCTAATTTTGTTTTATATTCGGCATTTTGTCGTTCAAGCTATTACACGAGAAAAAAGCAAATTTCGATCATTGTATAATATTAAGTGATAGTTTACCTCTGTAATCTTTGCTTTCAAAGATGGAATATCGTCGTTTTGCGCAGTAGTGACAGATGATTTTGGTGTTGCCATTTTTCTCGTGATAGATCTAAAATCAAAAGAAGATTAAAGAAGAAAATTTGGGAAAACACCTTTTTATAACCATTTTCATTCACTGAATATGAAAAAACAGCATAGAATTGTTTAGAACTTTTTATTGCGGAAAATAGCTTTTTTGCGTCTTTGCTATAACAATTGGAATGTCATGTATTTTTATTATTTTCAAAATTTGACCATGTGACGAAAGCTTTTTCTGGATTTTTTTTGAGCTAGTTTTGTAGGAAATGAAAAGGGCTACAACTTGTATTTGTTTTGAATTCCTTCAGAAACGAATTTATGGTCCAAAAATGGCTCGCAACATTGGTAGGTCCGATTTTAACTATGACAAGTTTTTGGAAAATTCAAGTTTTCTCTTAGAAAAATCGACGCTATACGAGGACAAAATAGTACGCAATATCAGTTTTACACGGTCTCTTTAATGAGACCTTGCTCGAAAAAATCGGACATATATTAACGCAGATAGAAGCAAAACAATAGAGAAGACCACGTTTTGAGTAATTTCGGAACTCATTCACTTTAAGTTTTTGTATCTCGGTCCAATCAGGTCGTACAACCATAAAAATCTTTTCAAAACCGTACTTTCACGTGGCGAAGCGATCAAGCAATATAAAGGGACCTAAAAGTCACCATAATATTTACGTATGCAATGACCAAATTTATTTTTAGATAGTTTACGGCCTAAATGCGCGTGACGAAATTACATTTGTTCAGCTTTTGAGCTGTTTCTCCTCAAATACTGAACAAAAGGTGACGAAATTTTTATCAGAGATGTGCGGTAGAATCAAGGGGGGAAAAGCGGACTCCTATGGACTCCTGGACTCCTGAAGTCCAGGAGTCCAACAGCAAAGTGTTCTTTTTTGGGAATCACTTCTCAAAAAATAAACACTTTTGTTCTTTTTTGGGCAGCGATTCCCAAAAAAGAACACTTTGGTCTTGGACTCCTGGACTTCAGAAGTCTATGGGAGTCCAGGAGTCCGCTTTTTCCCCCTTGGGTAGAATACTTGGTTTGTGGTAAAAATTCACAATGAATCGGCTAGGTAAAACGAATTTTATGAGCAAAATAGATGCGGTGACATATTCAGAAAAAAGTATAATACAAAAGTTGTAGAGCATAAAAAGAGCTTTTGAATCATCTATTTACTTTCACTTAAAAATGGTCAAATGAACAGAAACAAAGAAATGGCATTGTGACGAAATTACATCATTTTTTTTCTTTCGTTTACGGTGGCTTTTATCGTTATATTTCTACGGATAAAACGACTTCTATAAATTTGATCTGCACGGAGGTTTATGCAATCGAGTGCCCTCTGTCAAACTAAGCGAAATGCCTAAACCGGAAAAAGATAGATAAAAGAGTATCTAATTCAAAAAAATGTTACATTTAATTTCAGATGTTAAAATAATAAATCTTTTCAATTTCTCTTTTTCTCACACGTATTTCATGTTCTTCTACACTTTTACTTATACTCTTTGTAATATTCTTTTATCAACGATAGGAAAAATGTTTTTGATTTTGGTAAAATTGCTCCAAAAAAAGTACCATTTCGATTTCAGCAAAAGTCAGCAAAAATTTAAAATTGCGTTTCTTAAGATTGTTCTGACAAAGTCAATACTGCATTTTGTAGATCAATAATTCTTTATCCACTGATATATTTTCTAAAACATTTTAAGAAGCTAAGTGGGTCAGAAATTGAAATAAAAAAACTTTTAAGTTTTATATTTGAATTTTCGATTTAAGAATTTGAGTTTCGTTCGTTTTGAAGTTGATATTCGTAATCAGCCAAAAAAACTGCGTCTAGAACTGTGCTTTTAAGGCTGATTTGAGAGAAAAATATCGCTCAACCCACCACCGCAGCTGAGGGTGACAGTTACTCGTTTTAGCCATTTACATATTAAATCAGCGGGTGTATTTTTCTGTCATAGCATATGTGTGTGTTTGAAAACTTACACTCTTTTTACCACTGAACGAATATTTATAGGAAACGTAGGTATCCTGGAAAATATCATCATGATTAAATATTGAATAAACCTCTGAAAAATAATTCAACTTACTGTAATGTGATCTTTAATAGCAGCGTATAACTCGGATAGATCTGAATTTTCTTCTGGATAATTAAAATAATTGATATACGCGTTGGATGAAGTACGTTTTAATGGACCATCCAAATAACATCGAATCACTTGAGAATTTGCCTCATCGTCAAATGCCTAAACCGGAAAAAGATAGATAAAAGAGTATCTAATTCAAAAAAATGTTACATTTAATTTCAGATGTTAAAATAATAAATCTTTTCAATTTCTCTTTTTCTCACACGTATTTCATGTTCTTCTACACTTTTACTTATACTCTTTGTAATATTCTTTTATCATCTGTTCTCCCTCTTCTACAGAATTACTGATTCTCTGTGAATCAACATCATAGAAGAATGATCTGAAAGACATACACATAAACGAAAGCGAAACATTATGTCGACGCACTGGATTATTCTTGCTCACGTATCCACACCACATGTTGTTATAACCGTTGATATCTCTGTGAAATTAGAAAATATTTTAGATAGCAACGTGTAATTGGTCTGATTCCCTGAAAATTAGTTCTTGTGGGAGTTGAACGTAGCTGGAGTTGCTCATCTCGGTTACAGAATCAACGACAACTTTTTTTCCGACTTTTGTAAGCAAATCAAATAATCTTTTGTTTTTTATTTCCGTTTCCGTCGTGCTGGAAAACTCATGGCACTATGATAAGTCGTTTTATAAAAACACGCAAAAATGAAAAAAATGCCTTTAAAAAAAGATCTA